CGCCGGCGAAGCAAACCAAAAAATAAAAACCAAAAACCCGAAAAATACAAAAAACGGCCATCTAAACCTACCTCGGGTAGGTTATAGGGATTCTTACTTATGCAGATCATGCATCAATCAAATTTGAATTAAACCAAACCGAATCAAACCAAACTTCCCCATCCCTAGTAGGTTAATCAAAAATGTCGGGAAGGCAATTTTGCTTATATTTAACTAATATAGGATGACCATCACCCTAAAGTTAGTCGAGAAAATTATTAAATATAAGGTCACGTGAATTTGACTCCGCTTTAGACGCCATTTTTGGTAATGTGCCTGACTGAAATATACGTCTATTCAGTATGCTGATCAAATCATGCGGATCATACAACCATTTTCTGATCATAGTAGTGGCTTTATGAGTACATGAATGTCTTCAGGATTTCTAGAAAATGCTTTTTTTTATAAAACAAATCATTATACTTTGTACTAAAATAAATTATAAAAAAATAATTTATATAAACACAGTTACTCTATAAACACTTTTTCAAAAAGTTCTAAACAATTTTATTGGTTAATCACCATCATGAGAATTGAACATTTCACATGAAATTTGGAATTTCTTTTATTCAAGATTCTAACTTTAAATTTTAACAAAGTTATAAAAAAATGCACGCAAATTTTAATTCAAATAAAACATTTTTAAGTTTAATCTGTCACAATAATTATACAACCCATTCATTTTTCTATTTTTGTCATATTACGCAACTCCAATATCGATTTCCATATAAATATTTCTGTAACGGATTTTGATGTAATTATCAGAATTTATAATGTGGCTAAAGATAATTAATGGTTAATAGACCTGAACTATTCCACATTTGCTAATATAATTTAGTCTAGGAACTGTACAGAAAAAAGTGCAGTTGATTACATATTGGATGAAGAAGACAAATGGACTTATTCAAAATCGGGTACACTTCATAAACAAGTATGGATCCTTCTTTCTAACTGTTTTAATTACCTAAAAATAAATTAGTGCATACAGGTACAGTACATGCACATATAAGTACGTACATGTTAGGTGATTAATTAACATACTTTAAATTAACTATTGATATTATTTGTACTTAGAATTCAACGAAACTTACTAACACTGGTTTAGAAATAAGACTAATTCCGTGTGTGATTAAAATAAATTCAGTGCAATTTTTGTAGTATGCCAACTTTGCGAGTTTATCCTAAGAATCTTGGCCACATACTCGCATTTTATGGCCTATCATCCAAACTTCCCTATTTGTAATATTTTGCTGTGATTGTACGTAGAATACTGTTGTAATTGACTGTGAAACATAGCAGATCATTGTTGCATTAATCAAATGTTACTTAACGTAATTTACTTGCTATCGCTATAGAAAAAATATTTTAATGCGCAGTAATTACATAGCAATTATACCGGGTGTTTGATAAGTCCTTGGACAGGACCTTTTTTAAATCACTAAATAAATTATTATACTATATAAAAACAAACGCAATGATTAGTAATCGTTATATAATAAAAACTATTACTAGCGGAGATATAAAAAACTACGCATACATATACAGTTACGTAACTATATCGATATGGTTACTATGCAAGGCAATTTCCACACGCTCAGTTTACATTCCCCAATTAGGATTAGATTTGCAAACCCCAAAATATATGTTTAAAGATTATTGAGATTTGGCGTGGACTAACCCAAATTGGCAAGTATAACTAGGATCCGATCTGACCATGAATGATACCCAAAGAGATCCGTGTCACCACCGAAAATCACTCCATATAATACTGTAATACAGTAATAAACTGCTAAATCGTCGTTCCCATGTGATGTCCAGCTACCTAATACTAGGAGCCCTGATCAGCCCCTGATTAGCCCCTGAAATTGCCTGATACTAAAATTTGGGGTCCTTATTTATTACAGATTTTCACTTTGCTCTTGATTAACCTGAAGAAGGTTCTAAAACATTTTAAAATTTCATAATAAAATTTAATTGTCAATTATTCAAAAGTTAAATGCAATAATGAAAACGTTTTATTTAAAGGTAAACATTGACATGTGACGCTTTTTGCGTTAATTATCGGAATATTTTTAGGTGACTTAGTAATACAAATATTTTGAATTGGTCTACCCACTTCGACCCATTCATTGTTAATTTTTCTTTATTCTATAATTTCGAATTGACGTACTGATTGTTATTATACTTAAATAAAACAAACAAATCCAATTTGATAAAATTCCTGACTTCAGTTTGAACATTAGGATTGCCATCATCATGTTACTAAACCCGAGCTTTTCCGTTATCACTTTGTTTAATTTATTAATCTCTGGAATATTTACTCCGGGAATAGTCTGTGGATGGATCGTCTACATACGCACGTACGTACCAGTTTTGGCCTAACGTACGCACGTACGTACGTACATACTTACGTATTATTCTCTTGAGCTATGTTTAGGTAGATTAACTCTTACCCTATTGTTAACTCATCCTAACTTCATTTTACTACATGTTAATTATTTTAACTACGTATATCATTCATGAAAAAATTCTGAATTCATTAATTCTTACATATTAAGAAAAACTTAATACGTAATGGAATGTACAAAGTTTGGATATAGTTACACTGCATTTTGTAAATAGATAAATTCATGGACTGCATGTGGAAAACTTTTTTTTTGAAAAATTTCAAATTACTTCAAACATGCAAGAAGTCGAAATTCTACCACGAGATGTCTTCATCCATTATCTTAATGTTCCAAAGGGAAAAGTCATTTTATGGTGGTTTTCTACTAAAAAGAAAAATATTTCTTTTGGCTTGTTTCAGAGAAAAAATAATATTGTGGCTTCCGGAAACGTTTTTATCGCTGCTCCAAATACTCCGGATCCTTATCAGGACGGAAACGTAACTGGCCCAATATCACCTGCTAAAATTGCAATCTCTGAACATAAACCTTTAGTAAAAAGTTTAGCCGCAAGTCTTAAAAGTAGAAATTCTCTAGATACTTATCAGACCGATGAAAATGATGATATAAATGAGGATGATGTAAACCCTACTTTAAATAATCAACAAAGTAGTCGTGTGAGAGGACGTAAAAAATCCGTATCAGCTCAAATTGCTAAAGATCCAAGTTTAAAAGAAATATTACCAGTTGAGCATTATAATTCTGCTACAACTACAATTAAGGGTCGTTATAAAGCAACTGAAGAAGGAACATATTGCCTATGTTTTGGTAATATATGTTCATCTGTTTAATTGTAATCTCTGAATTATATTCTAATCCATTTATTTTATTTTATTTTATTTTATTTTATTTTATTAAAAAAAGATAATTCTTTTTCTCGCACAACCTCAAAATCCCTAACATTTTTTGTTGCTCTAAAAGATGGTATATTAATTATGTTAATTGTGTTAAATATGTTAAATATTTTCACGAATATCACTAATGACGATTGATTATAGATATTGATGAGGATCAAAATGAACCTGAAATATCCGGCTGGTTATTAAAAAAGAAGAGGAAAAAAATGCAAGGTCGAATTAATATCCTTCTATTTTATTAATATTTATACACTCGTGTATACTATTCCTAATCTACAATTATTATACAGGTTGGGCTAAACGTTGGGTCCAAATTGACAATGGTGTTCTTTCATATTACCAGCATCCTCATAGTCCCTGTAGAGGGAAAATACATATTGTCCTTTCAACTGTTTCGTCCAGTCAATCTTATCGTTCAATACATTTGGATTCTGGAACTGCAACTTATCATCTAAAAGCTCTAACAAATGAAGAGTTTGATGCTTGGATGACGGTTATTCGTAAATATGTAAATCTTTCTAATGAAAAACAATTTAATGATCTTGAATACCACAGAGCTTCTTTTTACCAACAGCCTGGAGAAATTGAAAGACTTCAAAGTTTATATTTTAAACGACAAGGCTTACTAGAAAGGCGTCAGAGTTTAAATAAAACCATTGATCAACAAAATGGTTTACTTCAAAATAATTTGGATGAAGACCTCGGAAAAATTTATGGTGTATTTAATAACATGGATAATGAATTTAAATTGATTAAAGAGAATTTAGATACTCTTAAAAGTGCTATCGAAAATTTAACTTTTAATAATAATAATAATATGACTCAGCCTCAGCCAAGTCCAAATATTGAAGGAAAATCTCGTAAAAAATTTACTCTATCTTTGCAACGAGGTAATAAAAATTATTCAACAATTAAACATAAATATTAACATAATATTATAAATTTTAACATAAAATTTTATTATTATTTTAGGTCCAACTACTCCTCAATCCGATACAATCCAACCACTACCATCTCCTGTCACAACGCAAATACCATTAGATCAAATTCATGATAAATTATCTGTGAATGTCACAACTTTAAAAAAAGAAAAGGACCAAGCTTTTAATTTGTTACGTGCAGAAATCGAAAAATGGAAATCGGTCGATCGTGCATATCGTAAACTTGCTGCCGAAAATGCTAATTTGCATGAGTCACATGTTAAAAATGATAGCTTTGATGAGAAGCTAGAACATGAGTCTAATGATATAGATTATGCTGATATTAATAGTATGAAAAAGACAAGATCAATGTCTATGAGCACTATAAATACTCATTCTGAATTATTTTTTGATGCTGAAGATATTGATTTAACTGAGGATCTTTCTGCAACTGAAAGTGATATAGATGTAAGTAATACCAATATCAGTGATGAGGAAAGTGACTCTAGTCCTGCATTTATTCAACTTCAACCAGTCTCAGTTGGTGTGTATGAAAAACCTCTTGCTGAAAATAATTCTAGTGCCAGTCAACCAATAACAATACAAAGAAGAAAAGTTCTTCCTGCCCCAATTTGTGGTGAAGATGTTAGTTTACTCTCCATTTTACGAAAAAATGTTGGTAAAGATTTATCAACTGTTGCAATGCCAATTTCCCTAAATGAACCAATAAATATTTTACAAAATATGGCTGAAGCATTAGAATATAGTGAATTATTAGATAAAGCTGCAAGCTTTGATAATTCATTAGAGAGATTAATATATGTAGCTGCATTTGCTGTGTCAGGATATTCTTCTACCTATTTTAGGACGGGTAGGAAACCCTTTAATCCACTTCATGGTGAAACATACGAGTGTGTTAGACCAGATAAAGGTATAAAAAAATTACATTTTAAATGTTAAATCTTTTCTGAGACATCATTATCAATTTAAATTATTATTGATTTACAAATAGGATTTAAGTTTATTTCTGAAAAAGTTAGTCACAATCCACCAATAATGGCTGTAAGTACATTTACTTTTTTTTGGAATTGATTTTATTATTACTTTAACAAATTATATTTTTAACCTTTTAAAAATTTATAGTGTCATGTAGATTCCCCAAATTGGACTTATTGGCAAGATTCGAAAGTGAAAAGTAAATTTTGGGGTAAATAATCATTTACACTTTTTAAATGTTTCTTTTTATATATATAGTAATGCTAATCTTACATATTTAAATAAATATACTGTTAGGTAAATCGATGGTATGCATAAAAATTTTATTAATTTATTGTTACATAAAATTCACGGACAAAAAATAGTGATAACCGTTTTGAAAAAATAGGAATTTATCCCGATCGGTACAATACATATTACCATACCTAAATATAATGATCATTTCACATTTGCAAAACCTTCTACATGGATGCGTAACATGATATCCGGGACAAAATATATTGAACATACCGGAATGATGCGAATAGAGAATAGAACAACGGGAGAAGCTTGTGAGATCACGTTTAATCAAAGTGGATTATGGAGTAGGTCTCCAAATAGTGAGATAGTTGGAATATTATTTACGTCAAATGGTGAAAAATCTGGAAAGCTTGTTGGTAAATGGAATGAAATAATATTTCATGAGAAAGAAGGTCCAAATCATCTGGAAGTAATTTGGAAAGCAAATTCTCCAATACCAGATCATGAACAATATTATGGGTTTACTCAATTTTGCATAGAGTTAAATGAATTAACATCGGATCTTGAAGGATATTTACCAAATACTGATACTAGACTTAGACCAGATCAAAGACTTTTTGAAAATGGTGAAGTTGAAAAAGCAGAGGCAGCAAAACTTCGTTTAGAACAAAAACAAAGGGAGTATAGAAAGTTACTTGAGGAAAGAGGGGAACAGTGGGTTCCTCAGTGGTTTAAACTAGAAGGTGATGAGTGGGTTTATAAAGGTGGTTATTGGGAAGCGAGAGAGAATAAAAGTTTTAAAACAAAACTTCATCTGTGGTAGATAAATATTTTATTATCATTGCAATTTGGTATATAGAACTTTTTTAACAATATTTTAGCATTTTTTTTAATATAGAACAATGATACTTTTTTTGTAATTAACATTGTGAATATAATTTAAATTAAATAGTGAGAGTTTGTAAGTTTTGTTATAATAGTGTGAAAATAGTAAAAATAATCCGTTTGTAATATGTTAAATTTATATTAAATTCTTTTTTAAAATATTAGCAAATATATAATTTGCATTTAGTATAGTACAAAGTAAAAAACTATTTAAAATAAAACAAGTAAATTATTTTTATATGGTGCAAGACATCTATACTCAACGGTTACACGAAGTGTTTCAATTTTTTAAATAGCTATAACTTTTTATCTAAGAGGTTTTTAAAAAATCTGACCGGTAACTTTATAGCGCTATATCAGCCCTACATATATGCCAAATATCTTTTCAAAATCTCATCACTGTAAAAAGTTTTAGCGATTTGAAAATTGAAATTTTATATATAAATTTATAAATTTATATATAAAATTTCAATTTTCAAATCGCTAAAACTTTTTACAGTGATGAGATTTTGAAAAGATATTTGGCATATATGTAGGGCTGATATAGCTCTATAAAGTTACCGGTCAGATTTTTTAAAAACCTCTTAGATAAAAGTTATAGCTATTTAAAAAATTGAAACACTTCGTGTAACCGTTGAGTATAGATGTCTTTAGGGTCCGGAAAAAAAAGCCCGGTTACTTTCTGAATTTTTGAAGGCTGTAAACATAGTATTCCATAATAGATGTCTAGGCCGAAACTCACTTTCAGCAAACGGGCACCATTTGTTTCTCACATGTGCCGGGCCTACGGGCCGGCCCGTTGGCCCGGCCCGGTTAACTTTGAAGACTTGTTACTGGTAGCAGGCACATGTGAGAAACAAATGGTGCCCGTTTGCTGAAAGTGAGTTTATCATACTAATTAAATAGGCTAATTTCGGCCTAGACATCTATTATGGAACACTATGTTTACAGTCTTCAAAAATTCAGAAAGTAACCGGGCTTTTTTTTCCGGACCCTAGATGTCTTGCACCATATAAAAAATAATATAGCAAGTTGTATATAAAAATTTTAGAGAATTTCTATTTGTACACGGGGTGTATGTACACGGGCAATATATATAACTCAAAATTTTGATTATAAAACCACCTTTTGGTTTCTAACAAAAACAATTCCTTGTGAAATTTTAGTATAGGCTATATCTCGCCAATCCCAAGCAACCCTTACCATAACCATAAACGAGGGTTTAATTTTTCGATTGTAAAAATTGTTTTGATGGCGAATTTGTAATTCAATAAATTATACCCGTGTACAAACACTACGTGTAAACTAATAAATTTTCAAAATTTTAATAATAATAAAATTACAATATATCAAAGGTCAATTCTATTTTGACCCGGGTCAAAATGATCTGTCACGTGATTATGGATGGCAGGTGTCCAGAATTATGATACGAAAATTACCAAATTGTGCAGGTTTTTATCTAAATTATGCCCATATTATACGCTATATTGAAAATTATATAAAATATGTAAAAATATTTTTTATTAGAAATTGAAACTAAAGTTTAATATTTCATATTATTTTTATAAAAAATATATTCTTATTATCAATTTATTTATAGAAAATTGCTATTTTTATTATAGTTTTTTGCTTTTTCACTATAGGTTATACAAAAAAATATAAAAAAATCTATTTTAATAATCAATTAAATTTAATTTTAAAATTAAATAAGTTTTATTAAGTTAGAATTGTTAAGCTTCTAATTAAAATTGTAAAGTAGATTGTCTAGTTCTAATAGTATTTAAATTAATAAAATTAATTTAGTAAATCTTAAAATATTTGAAATCAAAAATATGAATATAGAGATTTACAAATTACTAGTTATATAAAATAGTATTGTTATATAAATATAAATATAAATATAAATAGTTTGGGTTTTATAGCTTAGCAGTTAAGCTTTCAACTCTATAAATTAGATCAATAGTTTAAGTTAGACTAAAAATAGATTTAATAAATTTATTTTTATAATTTATAGAATTTAATAAAATTTTTTTTATATATTAGCAGCTTTGCTATTATCTTTATTAAGGGTAGGGTATACAAATTTCTAATTTCATATAAAATAGATTGTAGATCAACTTTGTATAATGAATTTTATATGATATCATATGATTTACATATAAACATCATATGATTTGACCAATCAGAATTAGCAATTTTTTGTACTATCTAGGAAAAATATATAGTGATCTAGAAAAATTTAATTATATATAAAGTTGGTTTTTTTAAAAGCAATACATATTGCACAACTTCAATATCATAAATAAACTGTTTAAATTACATATTATATAAATTTTATATAAATTGGTTAAGATATTAAAAAGTTTTATTAGAAGCATTTTTTATTTACTATATAAAAATCTAATATACCACATAGATCATATAAAAAATGATCTACATACACCCTACCCTTAAATCAAAGCAAATATACAGATATATTCTAAATTATCTAAGTTATAGATCTGATATTCTCTATAGGTATCTAAATACAGTTTGCCTTGCTGGTTAAAGCTATTGCTTATATTAGAGAGTTGTATTAAGCTAGCTATCAAAATTATAACAAAATAGTTTTAATTTAAAATAATTTTTAACTATATTTAATTGGCAATTTTTTTATTTTAATTTATTCTTCTTTTTAAAACAATAATCTAATTTTAATTCTATATTAATAACTAATTCTATTTTATCTTTCACTAAAGGGTTATTATTGTCAGAATTCTTTTAATCATACTTGTATTTCCTTTTTCTTTTTTTCTAATTCATTCTGTCTTTTTTGATCAGAGACCCAGCTCTCAAGAGTTTTTTTATATTTTTCTCTTTATATTTTTTTTCTGTTTCATGACTTCAAATTCTTTTCTTCTTCTAAAGAGCTTGTTCTAAGAATCTTGTTTAGAAGTATTCTTCTGTAGGTCTTCTCTTCTTTTAACTGTCTTGGGCCTTTTTTTAGTATTTTTGTTTCTAAGTCTTGATTAGTTTTTTTGAGTCTTCTTTTTTTCTGTCTTAGATTTGAGTATCTTACTCTTTCTTTTTTTTCTTTTTAGAAATTAGCCTTCTTTTTAGAAATTTCTTTTATATTTTAATAAAGACTTTTTAATTTTTGAATAATTCTACTAAGATCTATTCTACTATCTCAACTATTATATCTTTTTTTTTCTAATTTTTAACTCTCCTCAATCTTTCTGTTAATATGAATCAAATTTGTATCAATATTCTATTAGTATCTCAACCAATATATCCACTCTACAAGCAGATCTTTTCTCTTCTTTTTTTAATTTCTGTTATTAATTTATTAATTTGTGAGTCTTTAATACTTATTTGATATACTATTTCTATCATCTATTCTGTTAAAATTGTTAATAAAATCTTTGTCTTGATTCTTCTTAAATTTTGTTTAGATTTTTGCTTCTGTATAGTCTAGTGATAGTAAATAATCTGATCATTTGCAAATTTTTTAAATAACTTCAAATAACTTCAAAATAACTAGTTATTGTAGTTATTTCAATTATAGGTCATTTGAAAATGACTTGTAACCAAATAACTATGGTTATTTAGAAATGACCCAAATCATTTGAGAGTCATTTAGTTATTAAGACATTGTGTATATAGAGTTGTATCCCAGATTTAATGTTTTATATATTGATTGATCAACTTTAATTATATAATAATAATATATAATTTTGAAATTAGCTAAATTGGGCTAGGTATTTGTAGGCTTAGAACCAAGCCCAATAAAATTCATATATTCTACCCAACCAAGAATAGAAAATTATCTGATCATTTGGTTAAAATTTAAATAATCCAAATTATTAAACTATGACAAGATCATTTGGGTTATTAAGTTCATTTAGGTCATTTGCATATAAAATAATTTATAAAAATTATCAAACTTTATTACTTGACTAATTAATAATCATAGCTATATATTAAAATCAAACTCTTATTAATTTAATTAATATTTATGTCTTAAGTTATTTGAAATAATAAATTGACATATTTTAAAATTTCATATAAATCAAAAAAAAATTTTATAATATGCAAAAGTGAATTAATAAAAGTTCTTTAGTTTACATGAAAATTTTAGAATATATGTAATTTATTATTTTGAACAAGTTTATTTAAGACATAATATTAAATAACTTAGTAAAATTTTGACTTAATATATAGCTATATACAATTATCAATTATATCTTAATTTTTTTTGGTAACCAATTCTTATTAGCTGAATGGTATTAGAATATTAATTAATATATACTAGGTAAATGCAAAGCATTGTTTGTCTGGAACTTATTTAAATATATTAGAGTTTAAACTTTTTTGTACTAAGTTAATTATCTTTGAGTCAGTGTTTAAAATTTAAAAAAAAATTTACATGCACAAATGTATTTTGTGCATCTTTTTTTAAAAATTTTATATGTATACTTAATAGATTTTTAAAAAATTCAAAAAAATCCAAAAAAATTTTGTACACATGTGCATCTTGTGTATGCCAATTTTAAACCCTGCTTTAAGTTTCTAATTAAAGTTATAAAGCTCACTGAGATGATTCAAATAATAGTTAAATCATCAAAATCGGCCTAGTAGATAGTAAGATATCTTTGAAAATAGTTTATTAACTATAGTATATTATATAAAAATAAGACTCTAAAAAGGCCCTATTTTTAATATAGTACCAAAAAAACTCCTCTTTTTTTATAAATTAATAACATATAGGAGTGCAGAATAAAAAAATAGAGTTCAAAAAAATAACCCTACTTTTTTTATAGATTAACAACATGTAGAGGTGTAGAATAAGTCTAAAATTTTTATATAACTCTAAATCATGTGAGTGGACAGACAGAAAATGCAAAGTTACTTTTTTGATATTTTAATATATGATGCATCAAAAAAGTAATTTTTGTA